AAGTATTTAGATATGGAGATACTTCATTACCATTCAGTTTTAAATTTTTGAAAAATTTCTATTATAACATCCTCTTTGATTAACAATTTATTTAGAAATGTATATTTTAAATTTCAAAATGTATGAGCATTTAAAATATAGCCTTTTGTTCTTGATTTCTAACTTTTTTGCACCAAGTTTAGAGAATTTATCCCGTGTGATATTTATTCTTTGCAATTTGTTGAGATTTGCTCAGGTCTAATATGTTTTCAATTTGCTTTCTTGAGAAGAATATAATATCCCTATTTCTTATGATATCAAGTTTGTTGTGTTATTACACACACACACACATAATTTTTTGTTTGTTGCAATCTCCCAGTATGATGATGGATTTGCCCACATTTCTTTCTTTTCTTTTGCTTTATGTATTTTGAAGCTATATTATTAAATGAATATGATTCTAGCTATTTAAATCTTCCTTTTATTATTATATAGTGACTTATAATGTACTTTGTCATAAAGCATACTTTATAGACAATAATTTAGCACCTCAACTCTCATTTGGTTTGTTTTTGCCTAACACATCTTTTACTATACCTTTATTTTTAGTCTTCAGGTATGCCCCTTATAAATAGCATATAACTATATTAAAAAATCTAGTCTGGCAATCTCTATCTTTTAACTCAAGAGTTTAATCCATTTGTATTTGTTGTGATTATTGATAAATGTGGATTTGTTTCTAACATCTACTGTTTGTTTTCAATTTGTCCTGCCATTCAATGCTGTTTTTCTCTTTTCTTGCTTTTCAAGAATTGCAATTTTTGTTTGGTTGCTTTCTTATTTCATTTTTCCCCTCCTAAGGATTTGGACGTTATATTTTTAGCTTTTTAGTGGTTTCTCTTGACATTTTTCCAGGCTTACTTAATTAAATCTAAATTAGTCCATAATTTATCCCTACCCCAGATACAAGAGTCTCAAAACATTTTAACTCTATCAACTTATATGCCATTTTTGTCCAATCTTCTAGTGTGTCATTTAAAAAAAAAAATAAATAGGCATTATTATTTTTATTTATAGACAAGGTATGTTTAGATTTACCTACATGGTCACTATTTCTTTGCTCACCATTCCTTCTTGTTTTTTGGAACCCCCTCTGGGATGATTTTCCTTTTATCTGAAGTGTACTTTGTAGAAGCTCTTTGGATAAGAACTATTGGTAAACTCTCTAAATTTTTGTATATTTGCAATATCCTTATTTTACTTTATTGAAAATTGGTTTTGCTGGATTTACAATTTTAAGTTAACAATTATTTCTGCTCTGCACTTTCAAGATATTAGACCAGTATTTTCTGATTTCCAGTGATATTGTTATAATTTCACAATTGTAGGTGATTTGCCATTTTTTCCTGGCTGCTTTTAAGAGCTTCTTAGTGTGTCTAAGTTTGGTTTTATTTTTTAAATTTGGTTTCCTGCTTGGTGTTATGCATTGCACTTTGTGCTTTTTTGGATTTCAGTTTTTCATTACTTTTGAAAAACCCTCAGCCTTTATCTCTTTAAAATTTGCCTTTATACAATTTTTTCTTTTTGGAACTCCAGTTATTTATATGTTAGACTTTTTCACTTTAACCTTTATCTCTTTTAGCCTCTCTTTTATGTTTTATATCCAATTTTCTCTTGTTTTGCATTCTGGGTAATTTCTTCAGCTTCATTTTAGAATTCACTAATTTTCTCCAGTCTGCCGTTAAATCCTCAGATTAGGTTTGTTTCCAATAATTTTTCATTTCTGAAGGTTCTATTTTTTTTATCATGCTTGATCCTTTCATAGTGTCTTATTGCTGACTTATTTTGTGACTCTATTTTGTAATTCTTTAGATCCAGTATATCATTCTACGTTTGATAATTCTATTAAGTCCTTAGGAGTCGTGTTTGTGCTGATTCTCACCTATGGTTTGTTGACCCTAGCTACTGAGCTTCTATTTGGGTTGATCTGAATTGAGGTTGCTTTTCTCCAGAAAGAACTTGACTTTGCTTTTGCTGGGAACCCAGGAGAGCATTGTTTTGCTTGTTTGTTTTTGTGTGCATGTGTGCTCCCATTTATTTTCTGCCCTGGTGATTTCCCTTACCTCCTGAGAGCTCAGCAGTGCATTAAAAAGTATGTCTTTTGTCCAGGAACTATTTGCTTTGTAGCACGAAGGCTCTTCAGGAAGTGAAACCCCTAATGAATTCTCTAGTTAGGGAATAGCTTTAAGTGCTGGGTAAAATTAGATTTTCAAGAGTAGGCTTTGCATATGATGGAAATTATAGAAATAAGCTAGGTTTCTGTTCCAATAAATGAAATCAACACTCACTAAACAAGGGGTTGATTATTCACTTTATGGGAGGATTGGCAGTGGAGGCCTTTTGGTTGCTAAGTGCATCAAAGGTTCAATTTGTGACTGTTCATTTCTGAACAGAGAAAACAAAAATGAAGCCAAAGCATTCTGAGTAACTATTAGAGATCAAAGTGAACTAAGATAAACTATCTGGAATTATTACAGAAACTGGTGGGGGAAAACAGAATTTAACTGAACAAAAACTCCACTTTGCACATTTCCCAGGAAACACAATTGGTATCTTTCACACTAGACAAAAAATGTCATAAACAAGTTTGTTGTTGTTGTTAACCTACCATGTGTCTCTGGTCAGTTCCCTTTTCACTTTCTCCAACCATTAGTTTTAACCTTTTCCTTTCTCTTCAACCCACAGAGCCAAACTTTCCTCCTTCTCTGTCACTCTCAGCAGACGCCATTGACCATTTTTTTTACGAAGGACGTAGACATCATCAGAAGAGAATTTCCACACCTCACATCACCAAAGCTAGACCTTCCCTTCATTGGCATCTACCCTTTTCTCCTAATTGTAAGACCAGCCGCCCCTCATCCTCACTGAACCACCTGCGCTCCTAGCCTCATCTCTTCCCATATCCTCTAGGACTCTGATTCCCATTCTCTCTCTCTCTCATTCTCTCGCTCCCTCCTTCCCACTGTCTTTCATCTTCAACCACTCCTGTTCATCTTGTTCTTTTCCAGAAACATCTAACGCATGTTCAGGGAAGAACCATGGAAAAAATAACCAACTCTCCTTCTATCCTCTTATAGCTCTCTAGTTACCACCCCTCTCTCTCCACTTCACAGGCAATCTCAAGAGTTGTCCAGGATTAGTCTCCATTTCCTTACTTCTCACTCATTCCCAATCTTTATTTTATTCCCAACACTCCACTGAAATTCTCACCATAAAGTTTCCATATTTCCAAATCCAGTGGAAATTTATTGGTCTCCACCCTACTTGACTTCTCCACCGTATTCAACACTGTTTCAAACACACACAGTGTGTGCATGCATGCACACAAGCATGTGTATGAGCACACACACACACATTTTTTAGCCCTTATTTTTAAAATATGTCATAGAGGGTCAACGATGTTTAGTTGAATATCATTGCATTTGTCTTAAAACCAACTCATTTATTATAAGATTATTACTTATAATAATTACTATTCATTTTTAGTATTATATATTTTTAGTGTAAATATCTTTATTTCTACTTTAAATTTCAATTAAGACCTTAAGTTGATTTTAAAAACTATATGCATAGGTAGATTTTATTATTTCTGAATTTCATTTTAGGTTAGTAAAAAGAGATTTTCAACATATTTGTTAGGAGAAGTTGGTGCTGGTCTGGTGGGACTGCGTTCTGCTCTACTGGCACCAACTCTCTGTGTGAGGAGACCAGGGACACGCCCCAGTGCAAGGAGCCTCCGCCCTTCCAAGGGCCCACTTCGTTGCTTTTGGAAAAGAGTCAGCTTGTCAAAGAGCTGAATGATAATTCTTCTCTCTAACTAATACGAGTTATTTTGGTTGCTTCTTAATTCTTATGTGAGCTACCCGAATAGTGGCTGTTTTTCATCTATTTTATGCTTCTTTTTAAACTTTACTCTCCCAGTGTTAGACATAGGAGGACACCAAATAGAAAAACAAACCTCCAAGCACAAGGTATTTTTCTGTTGAAAATCATCTGTAGTGAAGTTGTTTTCTGGCCATGGTTCCTTCTTTAGAAAATCCTTATCATGGGCTCAAAATGGCAAGGCCATCTTTTGGTTATTGTTCCCAAGAAATGGTTTTTAGCCACTAGACTTCCTTCTGCACATGGGTTTCTGGTTTTCTTCCCTACACAGTTAGACAATTCTGGTTGCTTCAGTGGAAGAGCTTGACCGCATGACAGTTGGGTGTTCTCTGAAGAGAGTTCCTGTTTCCTGATGGACTCAGGCCTGACATGCAGCACACCCCGGGGGCATCCTGTGTGGAGCACGGAGGGCAGGGCGGCGGCTCTGGTGAGCGTGAACTCCCTCTGCCTTTAAGAGAACAAGGGGGTCGCAGCAGCATTGGCAGTATGCAGAGGCATCCCTCCCAGCACAGCCAGGGAACCAGGGTCGTGGGGAAGATGAATGGGGCAGAGACTGGCGTGGCTGCTTGTGGGCTGTGGACTACAGCACGGCAGAGACGAAGGAAGCCAGCTGAGAGCCCTTGTAACTCAGAGTGTCCGAGGATCAACACCTTCAGTGTCACCTGGGACCTTATTAGAAATGCACAGTCTCGGGCCTCACCTGGACCCGTGAACAAGATCCCTACGTGACTCCCTTGCACATAATCGTTTGAGAAGCCCTGCTGCTCTAACCTACACTCAGGGCCGCAACTTTCAGACCACAGCACTCCCTCCAGGAAGCCTTCCCCGCTCCTCCGTGGGCCTTGGGTGCTCCTTTCACATGCTCCTGCACTGTGCCACCGGGATCTCACCCGTGTCCTTACTGGCCTGTTGCTGTAGGTCTGCACGTCTGCCCCTCCTCTGAGCCGCGCTCTAGCCCAGATCATTCTGCGCTGGCCTTGCACGTTGCCTGACTCAACAAGCTCCAATCAGAAGGCTCATGGAGGCAGTGAAGGAATGGGTGGCCAGGTGATTGACAGAATACAAAGAAAAGCCTGAAATTCACGGAAGGTTAGGTGTTTATTTTCGCTGCTTCTTAGACAAGCTCTACAAGGTAAAAACAAAATACACACTCTTTCAACATGAGCATAGATTTTAAACGTCAACCTCGGACCGCAGCATTTAGGATTTCCAGAGCATCTTGGGTCAGGCACTTTTGTACCCAGAGGCACGGAGAACTTACCAGGCTCTAAGGGAATTTACTCTTGGGGATGCTGTTGCCAGCGGCCGGGTGAGGTAGGGAAGAGCAGCGGCAGACAAAGATCAAGGTCAAGCACACAGCCCACCCTGACTTTCATGAGCTGATTGTCCGGTTGGTAGGTGGCCAGGCCCTCTGCTGAACCTGCTTGTGCCCTCCTGTCACCCACCTTGGAATCCTTTCCCTCCTGAGGAGCACCCACAGCAGAAGGTGGGCAGGGAAGGGGAGAGAGCACACTGGACTCGGCCATGTGTCAGCATCTTTGGTATGAGGAACCATCTCTGGGCCCAGGGAGGGCCGGAGAAGGAAGGCAGCCAATACTGTCTAGGGTTAGCGATCCTTGGTGGAGGTAGGGGGGGGGGGGGCGTGGTGTGCCAGTTGCCCAGGTTCTCCCTGCTTCCTATCAGCAGGAAATTGATGGGCCCTCATTTTGCCAAGCAAATGCTGAAACCTCTGCTTTGCCCGCCTCCTTTTCAGTGAGCCTCTGAGGGCCATGGCTGCCGCTCCATCAGGGCCAATTTAGGAGACAAGCTTCTGCTGCTCAGCCTTGGAGCAGCCAATGGAAAACATCTGCAGGAAGCAGACAGTTGTGCCTGCTCTGCCTCCCCTCCATCAGTCACTGGCCTAATGAGATATTCTTGCACTTGGGTTTTTTTTTTCCTTTTCACTAAAGGACCCTAATGCGCTCCACAGACATGAGCTCATGAAGCCTTCCTGGGGGAGCAGGGGCATCCTCTCCTTGTAACATTATCTGGTCAGCCTTTGCCGGCTCGACTCTCTTTGTTCCATCCTAAGATGCCCTCCGGCTCAGGAGACCTAAGAAATATAAGTGTGACCAGCATTTGCAGTAGAGTCAGTGTGCATCTCACTGATGTCTTCCATCAGGACCTCCCAGCCTTTGTGTTCAAAGGGGCTTTTTCAGCAGAGATGGCAGATCTCCTGGTTCTGCCAGGGGTTGGGGGCTCAGCCACGAACAGCTGTTTCTCTGCAGGGGAAGAAGTAAAGTCAGTTTCAGTACGAATCAGTGAGGGATGGCATATGATTCGAGGACGTGCGTCCTGTGGCCCTGGCTGTGGTCCAGCCTCTTGTGCTTTGGGGCAGCAGCGTTTCAAGTCTGGAGCTTTGGCAGAAAAGACTCTCCTGACTCTTTTGAAACGTAACCCTCTGTTAGGAGGAACTTGGAGCCATAGTGGTTTTCTGGGCGCTCGCAAGGCAGGTTCTCTGTCCAGAGGCAGCAGAGGCCATCTGAAGAGGTCCCCGGTGTTTTTCCATAGGACCAATTTAATGAGGACAATCAGTCCTTCAGCACCCTGGGCTGGTCCTGAGAAAGGCTCAGCTGCAACACTGCGCGTGCTCTTGTGTGTCCTCCTCCCACTTGAACTCACTTTTACAGGGTCTGCTCTAGGCATTCCTGGGAGACAGTCAAACTAATGATCTAAAAGGTGAGAAGGCACAGTGGTCGAAAGAATGGTCATCACCAACTTAAAGGAAGGAAAGAAATTACACTCGTTCTCAAGATGGGGTTCATTAGTGGCTCCGGCAAGGAGGTGACTTCACACTCCCACAGGAGGATCAATTTGCAGCTGCTGTGGTGACTTCTGACTTTCAGGAAAAAATCTCGCCAGCTCAGGGAGGATTGGGGGAGCAGTTTCAGCCCCAACACACACCCCCTCCCCCTCCACGCCAGGCAGAGGGCTCTCAGCACGCAGACGCCAGGCTCGGCCCCCAGTGCCCTTGCTCCCCAGCTTGACATCCTGCTGCCAGGGAAGGTGGACGAGGCAGGAGCCGCAGCCGCTGCTTACCGGCGACTCTTCAGCCCCGTGCACCCGCATTGGGCTCCAGGCAGAGTTGCTGTCTGCCCTGCCACCTCAGAGTCCCAGCCTGGCAAAAGCCTTGGGAAAGGAGCAGAAAGGGGTTGGGGGGCACCCATGGATCGAATCCACCAAGGTACAAGCCTCTCACTGCCTTCTCTGTGCAAAAAAGCATGTGAATATCTCTGCAAATGTCACGACAGTGCGAGCTGCTGTTCTCCAGACATCTGGCACTTGCTTTTACATCTACCAGTTGAAATCTCAGGGACTCAACTTTTTAGCTAAGTAAATATAATTGCAAATCCTGTTATACATATGAAATATATAGGAACATATACATCACACGCACGTGTGTGTCATTCTGCATATTACTACATACATTTGCGTTCCAGGAATTCGGACCTCAAACCGCCAGTTTGTGCACAATCTCATCACACTGCACGGTCAAGAAAAGAAGCCCTGACAGGCTCAGGGCACCGTCCTGCCCCGTCTGGTTTCCGGCGCCGGGCGCAGGCACCTCACACGTGGCTGGTCTTCTGGGCCAGGGTGTGGTCCATGGGCAGCGTGAACTTGATGGCGCCGTCCTTCTCCCAGCCCCTCCGGATCTTGGAGAGTCTGCGGCTGACGCAGGGCAGGAGGAACAGGCCCCTGGCCAGGATGACGACGCAGGGCACCAGCAGTGTGAGCGTGAAGGTGGGAGGCAAGTAGAACTTGTAGCGGCTCTCCTCAAAGGCGCGGGTCCAGCCGTAGGTGAGCGTGTGCAGGGTGCTCAGCACCAGGGCCACAAAGCCCAGGGTGGACTGCAGAGGAAAAGAAGGCTGGGGTTAGAGCCAGGGTGACGACGGCCGCACTGATTCCACCCGTGGCTCATCCACTTGCCTGGCAGAGGGGAAGGAAGGCGGGCGGCTCTGGGTTCAGATCTCAGCCCTGTGACTCACTCTCTGCCTAAACGCTCCGAGCCTCAGTTGCCCCAACAGAAAAATGGGAATGATGCTTCTACCCTGAAGGTGTATACGGACTGACTGATTCCTGAGGGTTCAATACAATAGCAATGCTTTTCCCCCAGACTGTGTTATTCATACCTCTGGTGGCTGCCAGAGGACTTTAGATGGAATCAAGTTCAAAGAAGTTTAAAACCATGTTACTAATTTTGTGTATATTTTAATGTGTATTAGAGTAACAAGTGTCAGCCAGCATACCAAAATCATAATTTCACAGTAGTATTTGGCCTAAGACCAGATAAAAAAGTGACTTGATTTTAAGTCGATGTAAAGATAAACACAAAATTAAAAATTTACTTGCTACGTGGATTTTGCACCAACAGTGAAGGTGGCTCCCAGGGCCTGCTGGCTGGGTGGCCCGACGCTGTACCTGAAGCCCCCAGGAACAAGTAGATGCTCTCCGTGGGTGCTGGTCCCTAACCTCCTGCCCACGCTCTGAGTTATCAAGACCATCACAAATCCAAAGGAAACGGTCAAGGCCATCTTACAGTGGAGCGTCCCACGCCTTGAGCCACATCTGGGCTGTTGCGGGTCAGCCAAGAGCAGCTCCTCATCACCCCACATGCTGCACAAACATGACTTTCCATGGGAAGTGTGACATGAAGATAGCTGGACGTGCTGATCTGGACCTTGAGCCTCCGGGAATCCTTTGTTCGTAAGGTTTCCTGTAGACTACAGATGAGGCGTTCCAGACTACTGTGGGTGCTGGCCTCAACTGACACTGTGACCCTGGGCAAGTCACTTAATCAGCCTCAGTGAGAAATCAGTGCCTCCAGGAGTGAAGTCAGAGGTGCAGGGGACGCACGGTGTGGTGTGGTGTTCTCCAGTCCCAGAGGAGGCAGCCACTGGGGAGCCGCCTCTGCTCCAGAGGGCGCTAAGGGTTAGGGCTTTGCAGGGATGGGGAGGAGAGGCGTGGGCCGTCCTGACTGAATTCCGTAAGAACTGAGGAGCCACTGAGGGATCTGGGGAGACCTGTGTTTAGTATATAAGGAATGAAAATGGTGGTGACCCATCAAGCGATGGATTTCTCCAAGGAGACATTACAAGGGTTTAATTGAAATGTGGTGGCACGATGGCACCTCAAGGTGCTCTTTATAGGCTGAGTTTGAGCTTTCCCAGGAGAACGTGCAACTTGGCCTCCTGGATTTCCTTCCAGCCCACTGGTCAGCATCGATCCAGGGGCCCAGCTTGGAGACGCCATCTTGTTTGTCCCCTCAGACACGGTTCAAAGTGGGCCTGATTCTACCAGCAGGCCTCATTCTCGCTGCTCCGTGGGGTGGGGGACACTCTGCTTGTACCCACTCCAGGACAAACACCAGGACGGTGAAGCTCAGTCAGTGGGAGACAAGGTTTGGAAGAAATGCTTGTAATGCTTTTACTAAAAATAATGCTAAACATTTTCTAATGGCTGTACGCTATAAGTTCATAGACAGGTTCCCAAGCACAACATTTTTGACCCCACATGAAATAGGAGCTGCCAAAAGATCCTCAGTCTCTATCCTTCCTAGCCATCTGTGGTTCTTCTTGGCTTTGTGACCACTTCCAGGATCTTTTTATCTCATCTTTAACACTTCCTGGCTCAACACAGCCCATTGGGAAAGAACACGGTTGGCTCTGTGCTAACACCCACGGTTATTTCACGTGTCTTATTAAAACGGTCGGTCGCCCTACATGAAAGCCTCCTCAACTGCAAGTCACAGATAATCAAGTCCTTGTCGCTTCCAGATGTGTCTATCAGGAGTTCCAAATCCCCAGCACCTTCTGAACCACATCAACCTTTTCCAACTTCTGATCTAGTGATATTGAAGACAGGGGTTAAAAGGGTCCCCAGCACTGAGAAAATGCTTGGGATTATCATTCAGAATATATAGAGAACTCTTAGACTCAACAACAACAAAACAACCTAATTTAAAAATAGGCAAAAGACTTAAATAGAAATTTCTCCAAAGAAGATATACAAATGGCCAATAAACACATGAGGAAATGCTTAATATCACTAATCATGAGGGAAATGCAAATCAAAACCACAGTGAGATACCACTTCACACATGTTAGGATGGCTACTATCAAAAAACCCCCAGAAAATGCATTGGGGAGGACGTGGAGAAACTGGAACCCTTGTGCGCTGCTGGTGGGAAAGTAAAAGAGTGCAGCTGCTGTGGGAAATAGGGCAGCTCCTCAATGAAGAAAAAATCCCATTACCGTGAGCTCCAGCAACTCCACTTCTGGCATACACCCAAAGAACTGAACGCAGGACCTTGAAGAGAATCTGCACACCCACGTTCACAGGGGCATTATTCACAACAGATGAAATGTGGCAGCAACCCAAGTGCCCACTGACACATGAATGGGTAAGCAAAATGTGGCATTTCTACACAATGGAATATTATTCAGCCTTAAAAAGGAAGGAAATCCTGACATATGCTATGACATGGATGAACCTTGAGGCCATTATGCTGAGTGAAATAAGCCAGTCACACAAAGAGAAATACTCTATGATTGCACTTCCATGAGGCGCCTATGTGAGGTAGTAAAAAACAGGAAGTAGAATGGTGGCGGCCAGGGGCTGGGAGGAGAGCAGAATGGGGAGGACTTGTGTAATGGGTAGAGTTTCAGTTTTGCAAGATGAAAAGAGCCCTGGAGAGGGATGGTGGTGATGGCTGCACAACAATATGAATGTACTTAATACCACTGACCTGTACACTGAAAAATGGCCAAGATGGTACATTTTGTGTTATGTGTATTTTACCGCAGTAGAAAAAATTGAGGGGGGAGGAAAGGTCCTCAGCACTGACGATCAGGAATACATCTTGAGTAAGCCTGACAACCACCCTGACATTCCCCAACCAGCTGCCCAGCCCCAAACTGTCCCGTGTGGGTTTACCGGGCTTTGCTGGGACGGCTGGGAAGTGCCTTCACCCCTGAGAGTTTATCAGTCTGAGGCTGTGGTTTTCAAATCTGGTTACTTTCAAGTCACCTGGGGAGCTTGGGGAAAAGATTAATGCCCAAGCCCCAGACCCAGAAATGCAGATTAAATTGGCTTAGGTTGGGGCTCAGGCATCGGTAGGTTTCAGAAGTTCAGCGATGATGCTCATGTGCATCATGGTGGACTAAGAACCACTGATTCAGGAGGCTCTCATCACCCAAACCCTTGGAGTTTCAGGCTGAGAAGTCTTCATGGGCCCGTCTACCCAGGCCATTTGATTGGGGTGGACGTGGTCCTATCTGTTCCTTCTATAAGGACCCACTGCGGGCCTTGATGGGCCTACTCTCTGCATCACGGGGCTTTCCCAGATGCTGCAGCAATGAGAACCCACCCAGGCCTGGGAAGCTAGCCTTGGTGACCCCAGTGGAGCCTTAGCATCTCCCTTGGTGACATGCCCTGGAGCCCCGGTGTTTGGCCCATGTGAGCCACAGTCCCCAGCCCCTAATTTGGAGAGTGATGGATTATGCTGGATATGCACCAGGAAAATATGGAGATGCTGCTCCCGTTCATACATCCTCATCCTTTTGCCATCCAAAATCCCATGGTGACAAATGGCAGGAAGCCCCAGCCTCAGCCTAATGGTTCACAGAGAGGGCTGACAGCCAAAGACCAGCCAATAACAAAGGGCCTTTTGACTTTCCAATCCTAATGGGAAGCCTGGATGATTCCAGCGAGTTCATTCCATAAAATTCTCTCCTTGGGAACAATTTAAAAATCCCAGAACAGCCAAAGGAAGCCAAAAGTAAAGGAGGCATTGTCATGGGGCAATTAATAACCCTCCTTTCCACACCCTGCCCAAGCTAAGGCCATTTTTATTATATGTAAGCTTGTTAGCAAAAAAGAAACAGCCAGGTTGTCGGTGGCTCCTGCTGGTGCTCAATTACTGTGGCATGAAGGGGCTTTGGACAACTGCTCACGAAGCCGGGGTCAGAGCTGGTCTCTGTCATTATTTCACACAGGTGGCTGGAGTGGGCAGTGTCACAGGAAGTTACTCTACCCTTGGGGCAGAAGTGAGGTGCTCAAAGCTGAACCCTAATTTCTCTGTCCAGGCGAGCTGCACCGACCTGGGTATTCTGCAATCTAACAGTGTTTAACTGGCTTAATTAGGAGCACGTAGCATGGCCCAAACCGAACCAAACCAATAACAACAAAAACACCCAGACAAACAAAAACCAAAATTAAGATCTTTGAAAACAGCCTCAAGGAACAAAAGGATAAACGTAAGCACAAGTCACCTCTGTGGAATCAACACACTATTTTGGTGGCTATTAGCTAATAATTCATTATAGACCAGGGGTCAGGCCAAGCCCATTGAGAACCATGACATCTCCACAGTGGTTTCTAAGCCCTGGTGACCTGCTGCGGGCGTGTGTGGCTGGGGAAAGAGATGGGCGCACTGGCAGGGCTAACCTTACAGAAGAAGATTGCAGCTTACCTAGAAAATCACACAGCCACTACTGGGTGTGTGCATTGTGCATTTTACATGTCCTCGACTCCCATCCTCCCGGTGACTGCAGGAGGTGGACACAGGTGTAAGGTAGGACACAGATGCCCTGAGAGGCTAAAAAACTGTCTGATGGTGCAGGCCTGGTAAGTGGTGGTCTTGGGACGGAAACTCAGGTCTGCTGGGTGCACAACCTGTGTCCCCCGCTCCAGATGCTGCACCACGTGTGCCTGAGTCACCCAAGGAGCTGGCCACGCAGACCTGCAGAGCCATCCCCGAGAGCTGAGTCCTAGGTCCGGGGCGGGCCTGCATCTGTACTTCTCCGAGAGAGCTCTGTGACTTCACACTCTTTGACAGCGGCTCACCGTAAGAAGCAGGGTTTCATCACTGCCCAGTACACCACCAGGTACACCCCGTGTGTATACAGAACTACTTGAATCAAAACGATTGGAAAAACGTCTATCCTGAGAGCATGCAAAGCACCTGACTTTTTATTTTTTTGACATTCTATTCTATTTCCTTTTCAAAAAGCTGGTGGTGACCCACTAAACTGACACCATGACCCACCATGAGTGTCGACCGCAGTTTGCAAATGCCACCCTGGCCCGTCCCGCTGCTCAGGGCTGGAGTCTCTGGGCCTCCCTCTCGCTGCGTCCCACTGAACTCAGAAGCGGGCGGTTGGTACCTTAGTTACAGATAATGGAAATGTGGCCTCATACTCTAAGAACAATAGCAAAACACTTTTTGTCTTTTTTTCACACATAATCTCTCACAGTGGCTCACACACCTCTGTCGGGCGTTAACTCCGTTTTACAGGAGTGTAAGAGGCTGGGGCAGTGGAGGTGACCTGCCTACGGTTACGGAGCTGGCACCTGGGCTCTGGGCGCCGACAGTCCCTCCTCCTCCGAATCAGCCCTCTTGGGAGACAGCATTTGTTTTTGTGGACACAACGTGGGCATCTGAGTTCCACAAGTAAAACCCGGCCTTTCCACCCACCTCTCAGCCCTCCAACCCCCCGCTCTGCAGTGGCAGACAGACTTTCACATTTGTGTCTCCACTCTTCAGTATGTAAAGCAGAGCGCGGGTGCTGAGGTCCCAGTCAGCCTTTGCTCGCAAAATCAAATCCTCGGGCTTTCTCGGCAGCCAGAGCTGGGGCCGGTAATCTACGGCTGCTTAAGGGAGCAACTTTCTGGTGAGGGGAGCAACCTGCAGTCTGTTTTAATTGTGGATAAACCAGGCAGCCCGGGCTACTCCAGGCAGGAACAGGCAAATCCTAGGTTTGGGTGTGTGACACATGAGGATTAGTGGCAGATAAATAAAATTCTTTCCTCCCCGTCTTGTGCCGGTGTGTGTCAGCCGTGAGCACTCCTCCAGAGGCCTTCGGAGATGAGCAGAGCCAGGGCGATTCAGAAACAGACATGCTTTTAAAAAGAGACAGCAGCAGCTCTGTTTTGTTCTAGGGTCCGTAAGTATCCCCAGCCAGCCACAATTAAGTTGGATTACCTAAGACCACTGCACGGCTGGGGTCTCTCTTTGAATCCTGTGCTGTGCCCTCGCTGCACAAAGATATGCAACAGATTTTTGTTAACAATGGGGGTGGATATGATAGCTGTTCTCTGCGCTGATACAATATCGATGGCGGATTCCAGTATTAGTCAGCGTGCATCCCCAGGAGGGGACGAGTTAATCCGCCAACACTTGGGAACTGACCACGGACTCTGCATGGGGAACAGTGGGAGATGCCAAAGAAATGTAAAAAACGTCCCTGTCTCAGCTGTCCTTGTAATCGAAACGTGGCTGTGTCTGTCTTGTTCCCTATCACATCTCAGGCCTAGCACGATGCCTGGCATGCAGTAGGTACTCCATAAACATTTATGGAATGAATAAATGCATAAGGAACCTTTGCCACTAATAGCATTTCCCAAAGTGTGTTCTGTGGAGTGTAGAGAGCTGTTATCCGCGAAACAAAGTGGGGGGGGGGGGCACTAATGCTCAATAAATCTGCTTCACAAGGTTGGTTTGTTGTAAACATTATTAGAATCTTTGATGAGCCAAAGTACACTGGGAATCTCTTAGGGGGAAGCAAATCTTTTCTCAAATTCAGTTGACTACAGACCTCCTTTTCTTTGGATTTTTCAGAGGAAAGGTGTCCTTTGGGAAATGCTGTGTTTTATCCCCTATAAACTGGTGATGCTAAATGCCCACCTCCCATTCGCCCTGCACGAATCGAGGGGTTAAAGGGAACGACAGGGCCGGGTTGAGATGAGGGTGCTGGGGGGTCGGCTAGGCTCATCACTGGCTCTCTCACTCCCAGCTGGACCAGTGAGATGTCCACTGACTGCGCGTCATGGAATTTTGTTTGGGAAGCTCAAGAACTGTAGAAACTGAGAATGTTTAACTCAGTGTTCTGTTGTCTGATTTTTTCACTTGCCTATGTCTGGCTTCCCCAGATGTCATGAGAACGAGCTAGTCCCAGGTGGCCCCTTTATCAGGAGACTGGGGTCAGCCCTCAAGGCTTGGGAAGGTCCTGGCATCTGACTGCGCGGCCCGTTGTACCCGTTAGGAAAGCCGAGGTGGTTCGCGGTGGGGGGGAGTGCATGCACACGAGGGCAGGGCCAGGCCGACTTTACCTGCACGAAGCTGAACTCCCTCCAGTTGAGCGAGTTAGCAATGGACGGCAGCGAAGTGACGGCCAGCAGGGACAGCGTGCCGAGCGCCAGCACTCCCAGCGAGACGTAAATCTCCATCCGCCAGACCTCCTCCTCCACCCAGAGATGACTCTTGTTGGCCAAGACCTATGCGGACAGAAGGAGAACCGTGACCACTGTGACCAAGGTCACTGCCCCGGAATGTGGGCGAGCAAGGACCTCAGGCCGGGAGGGACACGTGCGTGAGGAGTCAGAGAAGTCACCAAGGCACACAGACCCTTCCAACATGACCACATCACACGGCTTCCTGGTCGCCAAATCCCAGAAAGGAGGGAGGAGCTCACCTAGCTTGGAAGGTCTTCAGCCAGATGGGTTCAGGCCTCCACAGCCTGCCTCCCCTTCCAGTGTGTCTCATCCTAGACCCTTTGCCTTCCTGGTCCCCCAAGCTGCTCCTGTCACTAGCTCACACTCAGAACACACACAGATGTTAAGCCCCTCAACATCTCCTGACTGAAAGCCCCAAGCTCCCAAATTCTGTCTGACGCATATAGCTTGGCATCAACATTGCCAGGCAACAGAGACTGACATCCATTCACCAAGCAGACCAGTGAGCATTTATGAAGCACCGACTGTGTGCTGGGCCCTGGGCTGCAGACAGCAAGGACACCTGCCCTCACAGAGCTCTGGGGTCCCCCACCAAGCTCCGGGGATGCACAAATCAGGGAGTCCCTGCAGGCCTGGAGATTTCTACTCCTCCCTCCGGCCTGGAGTGGCCTGGAAGCTGAGCCCCTCTCCTAGCCCGCCGACACGCCCTTGTATGGCACACACTGAGGAAGACTTCTACTAAGGTCCTTCCATTAGAACCACCGCTTCCCAACGAGAGCAGGGAGCAGAGTTCTGGGGAGTCAAGGTCTCCTCTGAGAAACATGATGAAATGCGGGTCCTTTAACGCTACCAGCAGAATAAGGAATGGTAAAAATGAGACTGTGCCTCAGTAGGCAGGTCTCTGCTTTGCAAAACAGAATGACTCACAGAGGTTTTTGAGAAACGATTTCAGCAGGAAAAAAATAACCCGAGCCTGGTTACCAGATATGCTATTAAAAAGGAATCTTGTGGGCTGAGCAAAAAGGGTTGAAAAGCTTAAGAGGAAAGTTTAGGGAAACTGAGGAAATGCCATCCTCTGGGTACTTTTCCTGGAATTTGAGAAAGATAATGGCCTCTGTTCTATTTTAGGGTGGGCTGGCTCACTTTGGTGTCCTTAAGCCACAAAAGGACCAGGACTGGGGTCCTGGGTTCCTCCTGGGCTCCCAGTGCTCCTCCTGACCACCAGTCGTTGGTGACTCTGGGCAACTGGCCGTGGGCCTCCATTTCTCCACTGAGAGAGCTGGATGAGGTCATGTCTAAAATCCTATGACTTCGCTTGTGTACCTTGCAACACAGAATTGGCTAGAAAGGTGTGGCTGTCTTATGCTGCCAAGGGCAGAGAGGTCTCCTGCGTAATGGAGCCCAGCACAGTCTCGCTCACACCTTCGCAGTGTTAGCAACTGCCGCTAAATAAGTCATCTCCTTGCGGCAAGTTGTTTGTTCTTCAAATATACTTCATTAGTCATTCCTTTCTGCGTTTCGGTAAGATCAGGCAGTTAATGTCACAAGTCAGAGTTTGGATGATTACACACGCATACCACATTTGCTTGCAAAATGTCTTGTTATTTTCCTCTAATATTTCCTCTCTCCAGTGACGTTGGGAAGGGATGGGGTGAGGCAGGCAGGGGAGCCATGGACGGTGAGGAACCTGCATGAAGATCTGGATCCTGGCCACCTTCAGTAGCCAACTTACTGAACCACTGCGATACTCGGGGCTCCAGTATACCAGCGATCAGTGTCACACGTGGCTACCTGGAACGTAGACTTAACCCGCTCCTCCCCCAGTAATCCTCCCGTGTTCCGGGCTCTCCATCCCCTAGTAACCCTCCCGTGTTCCGGGCTCTCCATCCCCTAGTAACCCTCCCATGTTCCGAGCTCTCCATCCCCTAGTAATCCTCCCGTGTTCTGAGCTGTCCATCCCCTAGTAACCCTCCCATGTTCTGAGCTCTCCATCCCCTAGTAATCCTCCCGTGTTCTGAGCTCTCCATCCCCTAGTAACCCTCCCACGTTCTGAGCTCTCCATCCCCTGGTAACCCTCCCGTGTTCCGGGCTCTCCATCCCCTAGTAATCCTCCTCTTCTCCAAGTTAATCAAGTTGGGCACCTTGAGAACGGCAAGGAAAGTGTTTGTCAAGGGATGGGGCAATGGCATTCGCATGTGGATTTCCCTTCCTGTAGGTTACAGGTTAGATGCTGAAGGACCCAGAGGCAGGAGGACCAGCGAGGCTGCAGCATTAGCCCCTCTCTATGCCCCAAGGGTGGGCAGTGGGTAGGAAGACGGTGGTGCCAACCACCAGCCAAACCCAGAGAAGGAAGAGGCAGGCTTAGAAGGGGCAGCTGTGGTGGTGGGGAGAACGGCCTCACAGTCCCAAGGCCTGGATTCTGATGCTGATGCTGCCATGGTGGGGCAGTTACGAGAGCCTGGGCAGTCCCTTCCCTGGCTAATGACACCACTGTCTGTTGCTGTGTTACTGCAAGGATTAAAAGGACGAGGTTTGTGGAATGAGTAGCAGGTGACTGGCATACAGCAGGTGATTAATATAATAACTGGCTGGTGCTGTTGTTCTCAAGGGTGGCTGGGCAGTGAGACTAGTTATTGCCCCGAGCTCTACGTGTACTCCTCTTACAAGATGCCTGGTACTGGCTCCATGGTGGCCAATTTAACAGTCACTCAATGAACACGCACTGGGACTCTGTGTTAATAACCTCAAGGGTGCCAGACCCAGTTTTCTGGAACTCTGAGTTGGGCAGAAGACAGCCATGGAAATGCGTGATCACAAAGTGATGCAGAAGAGAAGTCACGGAAGTGTGGACAAAATACAACAGATTACAGGGGTGGGGAGGGGGCATGGGGGAGATAGACTGGGGGAGCTTAACAGAGCGAGGGTTCTGAAGGAGGAATAGGAGTTTGTCAGACTGCTAAAGGTGTCCCAGGGTGGGGAGTCTGGGCTGAGAGGAAAGAGCTCTGCCCATTCAGAGGACAATATGGGACCTGAGTGTGACAGGTGACAGGAGCAGCAGGGAGAGGAGGCGGGGGAGAGAGAGCAGCAGGGTGTATCAGCCCGAGGACCGTGGGGCGTCCCTGAGTGCTTTTCAGCAGTGACACCGTCAGACGCGAGTTTTAGACAGTTCTGACAGCCTGGACCACATTTGGGGTGAGAGGCAGAAGAAAACTGTGTGGGTTAAACATTGTCTTTATCTTGGTCTTGAAATGCATTTCTAGGGAACGACACAAGCAAATCACACAGTGCTCCACAAATATTAGTTGTTGTGGATAATAATACCGTCAATAACCATGGTCTCAGAGGTCTTGTCTGCACTTGGGATACAGCTCCGCCTCCCAGCCTGCGGACTCAGGGGCTGGAGGGAACTGCAGAGTTCCTGTGCCCAGACTGACACGGTCCTTTCCCCAAAGGCCTGGGGGGCAGCCAGGGTGGTGAACCTGCCTCCTACAGCCCTGAGGTGAGGCGGCCCAAGGGCGGGCTGGGAAGGGCGCAGATCAGGCACCAAGTGCCCCGGAGGCCCTGCTGTTAGGGCCGAATGCAGAACAGCCTCGGGGCCGGTCCAGAACCCGAGGGCGTGGCTGAGCCCCAGGCTGCCCGCATTTGCTCCGACACCTCCAGGTGCTGGCGACTCACCACTTGTTGGCTGCTCTGCTCTGGGTTAACCCCAGTCCCCTGTCCCCGACGTCAGCCCTGGCTCTGCCCTCCAGGCCTCTGCAGAATAAGCTAACCCCTTTGCGTGAGGCCCTCGCTATCTCGGAGAGTGATCCCGTCCTGTGGGAGGGATGGTTGCCTGGCAACCTCCACGGGGCCTGCAGCCCTGAAGGGCTTTGGAACTCGGGGAAAATTACGTCTCTGTGCCCTGGTATTTGCATCATGGCAAAACTGGGTTAACATGATATTAAGGAGAGCCGGGCAGGGGGAGGATTTACAGAATGGCAGCCAGAGGGGTTGGGGGGAGGGGGTAGCAGGGGTTGCCTTGGTCTCCAGAGGGGGAAGGGCTGCTACCTTCTTCCCCAGTGAAACACCTGCCACTCAGATCTGCCACTCCCTGGGCAGCAGACATTGTGCCAGCCCCCAGGAGCCATGCGGAGCATTCTGTTGAGTGGGCTGGCTCTTTTTAGAAGTAAGAAAATATCATCGAAGAGCATCAAAAACATTAGCACCAGGAGAGACCTTGATCTACACATCAGGGCCCTGAGGACAAAAGAGGGCCTGTGATTTGCTCAAGGTCAAGGGCTTTGCTCCGTTCAGTGACGCTGGAGGATAAGAGTCTAGGGCTTTGGCGAGGGCTTCAGGCCTCCAAGCCACTCCGCCAGCTAAGGCAAGGGACAAGACTGTCTGCATCTTCTTCCATTCTGCAGCCCCAGGCACTGGCAGAGAAGGTACTCAGCGAATGAATGAATGAATGAGCTGAGTTCTGGGACCATTAACTCAACTAATCATTTGTAGTTGTTTTCCCTGTAGAAAGCAGTAAAGATATGAGCATTTACATGGAGTAGAATGGCTGGTTCTGAATCCCAGCTCTGCCACTTGCTGGCTGTGTGACTTTGGGCAAGTTACTTAACCTCTCTGTGCCTCAGTTTTGCCTCAGTTAGAACAAGGATAGTATAGCACCTGCCTTATGGGATGAGATAAGGGTTAAATGAATTCACACTGAGTAAGTAAAGCCCTTAGATGGTCCTTAGAACACAGCAAGCTCTTTTTAAGGGTTTGTGACTATTATCTGTTCCCTTCCTCTCATTTCCAGCAGCTATCCTGCTTCTTTGCCTGACGTCTGGGGTTCTTCCCTCCTCTTATGAAAGCCCAAGCTCAGAGACGCAGTGATGCCAGGTGTCTGTGGGGGGGGGGGGGGGGGGGGGGGGGGCAGGACGAGGGCATTTGACAAGCTGCCAGCAGGGAAGCAGGGGCCCCGAGTGAGTCCGGGCTGAGGTCTGTGGTTCCCAGGAAGCAGCCCAGCCTCACCTCCTGGTTCTGCCCTGGGAGGTGGCCTGGCCTTCGAGGGGAGAGCTGTCTGGTGGGTGTACTGGGGAGGGCCTGTCCTCACCAGGATCCCTGCATCCCAAGCAGGAACGGAAGCTGCAGGGGCCACCGGGGCTGGAAAGCGGGGTGGATGAGCTGTGTCTCATTGGTGCCTGGGCCAAACTCTGTTGGGTAACTGGTGTCCCAGAGAGGGCAGGGTCCACACATCAGCCCAGACGGGGACTGGAGGCGGAGTGAAGCAGGTTGGGAACATAAGGAAAGGCAGTGCTGCCTGCAGACCTGAGCTTGGGATTCAGAATCAGGCCCTCTGATCTTGTAAACCAGGCGGGAGCATCAGGGGGCCCCTTTCTGAGGGTACAGGTGCCAGCTGATGCTGCCTGTGTTGCTACCTGGCTCGGCTGAATTCCCTCCATTTCCCAGAAATCCTGCTGGCAAAAGAGGATGACATGGGTTTCCTAAACGAATAAATAACTACCCACCTCTCAAAAAAAATATTCTCCTGTAACCTTCCCCATCTCATCTGATGGTGAGCCCATCCCTCCAGGTGCTCAGGCTAAAAACCCAGAGTCATCCTTGACCACCCGCATACCCCACTGCCGTCAGCAATTCTGTGTCCTTCAGCTTCAAACTGTGCCTTCCATACCTTCCACCCCCTCCACTGCCCCAACCCCTCGACCTCCCCCTCCCCACTCCAAGCCTCCACCACCTCTCCTGGTTCCTGCGCAGCCTACCTGGTCTCCAGCTTGCCCTTGACACCCTATTGCCTGTTCTCCACCAGGCAGCCAGAGTGAGCCAGTTAAAACGTCAGGCAGGTCATCACTCCTCCACTCAAAATCCTTCACTGGCTCCCTGTTTCACTCAGTCTAGGGCCAAAGCCCTTCCTCGGCCTTCAAGGCCTCCCTGGTCTGGCTGCAACCTCTCAGGCCTCGCCACTACCCCCCGGCGCGGCTCCAGCCACAAGGGCCTCGCGCTGCTCCTCAGACGCGCGGTACTCCCACAGGCGCCTCTGCTCCTGAGCTCCCTCTGCGGCTGCCGCTGGCTCACTCTCCCCTCCCCCCCCCCCGCCCCCACTCGCCCCCCCCACCCCCCGCCTGGGCTGGCACATGAGCCTCAGCAAGGCCTCCCTGACCGCCCCTTACAGCTGCACCCCACAGCCCTCCCAGCTTGATTCTTCTCCTTAGCACGCACGACCTTCTAAAGGCCCTCTAGAACTTACTGCTTTCTTTTAAGTCCTTCCCAACCGGCCTGTGCCCATGGGCATAGGGATTTCCGTGCTATGTTCACGGATACTCAAAATCTTGGACAGTAGATCCTGGGCCCCGGTCAGTCGGAGCAGAGTCCGCCGACGACATGCGGCGGGAGCACGCGGGGCCGGGCGAGCGGCAGGGGAGCGACAGGCAGGTGGGCGGGGGCGGGCGGCGTACCTGCTTCACGGCGAGGTTGACCAGGTCGTAGCGGTGCGAGCGGCGCAGCGGCAGGCAGAAGCTGTAGAGCGCGTGCAGCGCGGCGCAGAAGAAGCTGAGCAGGCCGATCTGCTTGCGGTGCTGCAGCCAGTGGTCCAGCCAGTCCGGGAAGCGGCGGTACTTGGTGCCGCGCCGCAGCTGCAGGGCGGCCGCCAGCACGCCGGGCAGGTAGACCAGCGACAGCAGCACGTAGGCCACGCACGGCAGCGTCGTGTTGACCACGGACACCGGGAGCTTGTAGAACTTGTTCTTGCCCTCCTGCAGGTAGGGGTGCAGCACGTCCCGGACGAAGTTGTAGGCGTAGAAGAAGACCAACAGCCCCAGGGTCAGGAGGGCCGGCACCTTCCAGCCCGGGAGGAGGCGCAGGGGCATGGCCTCCACCTCCCGGGCTGAGACCAGTGACCCCATGTCCACGGGTGTGAAGCCCATGGCGTGTACCATCTCTGAGACAGTGCGCTTGGCTTCCGGCTGGTCACTGCAGATGGGCACCTGTGGGGGGCAGGGGGTCAGATGGGGTCACAGGCCACAGGCTACAGGCCACAGGCGTGGGCAGGACCTCAGAGAGCATCCGGGCCAAAATCCTCACTGAGCAGCTGAGGAAACTGAGGCCCAGTGAGCTGCCAGTTAATGGTATAGCTGGGAGCAGAAGGATGCTCTGACTCCCAGGCCAGGGGTCTTCCCTTGGCCCTGTCAGCAATGCCCACTACTCAAGACGCGCCCCCAGGCCTCACCTACCAGTGAGTGTTTCACCCAGTTCACTGCCGTCGGCCTCCACAAGCAAAACGCCCATCTAGGCAGCCCCCATGGGCCCTTGGAATAGCTGCTTTGAGGACTGTGGCCTGCCCTGGGGGTCACTCAGCAATTGGGTTTTGCATATGGCCCAAAATTTGCAGCTGTGTCTACAGCTCCATCCCTCAGTCCATAAGAGTCCCCTTGGACTATGTCCTTTGGCCCTCTGTGGCCCTCAGCCAACACACAAGGCCTTCTGTAAGCCAGCCCCAGCCTCGGAGCCCACTCCTTCCCACATGAGTTCCCAGGCAGGCACACTGGTGTCCGCAGATCCCCAAACACTCTGTGGCCTTGCTGACTCTACCATCTACTGACACTGACTCAGTGCCTACTATGTGCTAGGCTTTACAGCTGCGATCCTTCAGCCTTGCCACAGCCTACGGGTAGGCTTTCTCAGGTGAGGAAACACATCTGGGAGCAGCACTCCTCACCTCTGTGCCTTTGTAGGTTGTCCCCTCAGCCTGGAATGCCCTGCTGCTCTTTGTGCCTGACAACAAGAGGTGGGTCAGGCCAAGGCCACCTCCAAGTCTTCCCCAGCCAGCCAATAGCTGTTCCCTCCAGGTCCTGCCACTCAACACTCATCCATTGTTCCTGGCCTGTCCACACACAGGAGTCTCAGGAAGCGGGCTGAATGTAAGGCCCTGCAGACACGGCTGGCCAGGCACCTGTGGGTTTTCCCGCAGCCTGGCATGGAGCTGTGCAGAGGCAGCTGGGCTGGACTCAGTGGTGGAAGTTCTCCCACACGGGGAACCTGGCTCCTTCCTTCAGGAAAATGCATTAAAAATCACCTTGGCCATAATGTACAGCTGAAATTTATACAATGTTATAAGCCAATATGACTTCCATAAAATAATTTTTAAAAAATCACCTTGGTAAGACCTCCTCCTGCCAAGAGCTGGGTGCAGCTCTGGCTCTTCTCCAGAGTCATTTTCCACCCCCAGAAAACCCCCGCCATTGACCTTTCTGAGAAATCCACTCAGTTCTTAGAAGCCCTTGGAATAAATAAGATAAAGTTTGGGACATACATGCTTCCTCAGGGCCTGGCACCTAAGTGTGTCACTTTCCTCTTTCTGAGTTCAGTTCTAAAAGCAAAGTCTCTCCCCTTCTTGACTCCAAATAGAGAAAGAAAGCCATTATCCTTTTCCTCCTTGCCCCCAAGGTAATCAAGTTATCACAGAAGAAAGAATATGGATTCAGATTCATACGAAGGGACTTCAAATCCCAGCTTGCCCGCCAGCTGTGGGATCTGGCATAAGTAAGTTCATTAACATCTCTGAGCCTCAGTCTCCTCCTCCGTAAAATGGAACTTTGCAATGATGTGAGATGAGCTGAGACAATGAACAGAAAGAGCCTAGCATGCCAAAGCCTGTCATGAAAGTTAGCCATTTATATTTATTGTTATCACGGTTGTTATTCCCCCAGCACCTACCTGCCTGTTCCCATCCCTCGGGCCAGACTGCAGGGTCCAGGCAGAGATGACATTGAAGGCCTTGACCACCGAGCAGGTGGGGAAGAGGGAGGCCAGGTACTCGGCGTTGGACTCGCGGTGCTGAAGGTGTTCCTGCTCTGTGGGATTGCTCACATCTACCAGGATCTTGCCGGCTAGCTGGCTGCTGAGACTACACAGCGAGGAGTAGTGCTCCCGGAACATGGCCACAAAGATGACCTCAGGGGAGCCCACTGCCTCCTCCTGGAAAGTCACTTGTGCTGCTGAGGGGAACAGCCCGGCCATGCGTTTGGGGTTGCGGCTCCCCACCACCACACCGAAGCCAGAGCCCACCAGGCGCGTGGCCAGGGAGCGGGCAAAGTCCCCGCTGCCCAGGATGCCCACTTTAGGGGCCTCACTGGGGGCTTCAGCAAGGCTGCCATCACTGTCCACCAGGCGGCGGCTGATCAGCGGCTTGTCCATTTCTCCTGATGTTTTGGTGGCTGGAAGAGAAAGCAGGAACCTGGTCAATGGAGGGCTCCTGGACTGCCCCTCCTACCATCTCCGTCTCTTGTCCAGTGTAACTGTATCGTGGTCAAACATTCACTCAACAGGCCTTCATGACTGCTGACGTGCCAGCACGGGGGGACAAGCTGAGCAGGACCCAGCCCTTCCCCAAGGAGGGCACAGATGCAGGAGGAGGAGGGGGAAGGACCTCTGCCCTCCACCCTTTGTCCTTCCTGCTGAATTACTCCCTTGGGACAAATCTGCAAGAGTGAGAGTGCTGAGAAAGAGGAGTAGGGAACTTTCATGACCAATGCTACGTGATGCCATACTTATTTTCAAAAGGATTATGCAGTAGGCAGTGTTACTATCCAGTAGTGATGGTTTAACCCCAAGCTCACCATCGCTGGGTGTTGTCTTTGATTACTGGGAAGGGTGGACACGTTCCTCTGCTTGTCTACATTCTGCATTCCGAAACGGTACGTCTGATGCACTTCCTTACATAGATGTGGAGCAGCTTGAAGGCAGGGACCTCATCTTACTTGACTTTGGATCTCGCCATTTGCCTCATGGCCTGGCAAAGAGCTGGTGCTCAGTGTTTGCTGAATGAATAAATGAACACTGAGACCCTAGTCTGAGGGTAGGTCTGGGGTAGGACATGACAATGAATGGGCCCCTGAGATTGGGTGGGTGCCCTGGGATCTCCTTCACTGAGCCTGAGGTAGGAGTGGACCTTGAGGGAACTCTGGACTAGGGCCAGGAGTTTACAGTAAACCTGGATGGTAGAACTTATGTTTTTAATTGTTACCAAATTCCAACAGAAATGTGCTGTTCCCTTCATGTATGAATGTGAGCAAAGGACCACAGTAGTATTAGCAGTACCTGTGAGTTTGTCACAAATACTGACCAATGTCACATTGCAAGTTTACATGAAGAAAGAAGATCTCAAACAACTTAACTCGACAACTCAAGGAACTAGGAAGGGAACAACAAACTAAGTATACAGTTAACGGAAGAAAGGAAATAACAAAGTTCAGAATGGAAATAAATGAAGTAGAGGCTAGAAAAACAATAGAAAAAAATCAACAAAACTAAGACTTGGTTTTTGAAAAGATAAACAAAATTGACAAACTCGTAGCTAGACTAAGAAAAGAAGAGAAAAGACTCAAATCAAAAATTAAAGAGAAATTACAGCTGATATCACAGAAATACAAAAAATCATGAGACTATTATGAATAATTATATGTCAACAAATTAGATAACGCAGAAGAAATGGATAAGTTCCTAAAAACATGTAGCCTACTAAGACTGGATCATGAAGAAATAGAAAATCTGAACAGGCCAATAATGAGTAAGGAGACTGAATCAGTATTTAAAAATCTCCCCAAAAGGAAAAGCTTAGGACCAACTGGCTTCACTGGTGAATTCTACCAAATATTTAAAGAAGAATTAATACCAATCCTTCTCCAAGTCTTCCAAAAAACTGAAGCAGAGGGAGCACTCCAAGCTCATTTTATGAGGTGAGCATTACCTTGATACCAAAGCCAGATAAGGACACAAAGATAGAACATTACAGGCCAATACCCCTGATGAACATAGATGCAAAAATTCGCAACAAAATACTAGCAACTGAATTCAACAGCACATTACAAAGATCATTCACTAGGGGCTGGCCCCATGGCCGAGTGGTTAAGTTTGCACGCTCTGCTGCAGGTGGCCCAGTGTTTCGTTGGTTCGAATCCTGGGCGCAGACATGGCACTGCTCATCGGACCACGCTGAGGCAGCGTCCCACATGCCACAACTAGAAGAACCCACAATGAAGAATACACAACTATGTACCGGGGGGCTTTGGGGAGAAAAAGGAAAAAATAAAATCTTTAAAAAAAAAAACAAAAGATCATTCACTATAATAAAGTGGGATTTATTCCAGGGATACAAAGATGGTTGAATATATGCAAACCAATAAATGTGATATACCACATTAACAGAATGAGGGATAAAAATCCTATGACCATCTCAATAGATGCAGAAAAAGCATTTGACAAAATTGAACATCCTTTCATATAAACTAGGCATAGAAGGAATATACCTCAACATAATAAAGACCACGTATGACAAGCCCACAGCTAATATCATACTCAATGGTGATGAAAAAAGCTTTCATCTAAGCTTTTCCTCTAAAATCAGGAATAAGACAAGGATGCCCACTCTCACAACACTCTCTATTCAACACAATACTAGAAGTCCTAGCCAGAGCAATCAGACAAGAAAAAGAAATAAAAGGCATCCAAATTGGAAAGGAAGAAGTAAAATTGTCTCTGTTTGCAGATGACATGATCTTATATATGAAAATCCTAAAGACTCCACCACAAACTGTAAAAACTAAGAAACTAATTCAGTAGAGTTGCAGAATACAAAGTCAACATACAAAAATCAGTTTGTTTCTATACACTAACAATGAACCTATCCGAAAAAAATTAAGAAAACAATCCCATTTATACTATGACCAAAAAGAATAAAATATTTAGGAATGAATTTAATGAAGGAGGTGAAAGATCTATACACTGAAAACTATGAAACATTGATGAAAGAAATTGAAGAAAATACACACAAATGAAAAGACATCCATGTTCATGGATGGGAAGAATTAATATTGTTAAAATGTCCATACTACCCAAAGCAATCTACAGATTCAAAGCAATCTCTATCAAAATTCCAATGGCATTTTTCAAAGATACAGAAAAAATAATCCTAAGATTCCTATGAAACCACAAAAGACCTGGAATAGCTAAAGCAATCTTGAGCAAGAAGAACAAAGCTGGAGGCATCACACTTTCTGATTTCAAAGTGTATTACAAAGCTATAGTAATCAAAACAGTATGGTATTGGCATAAAAACAGACACATAGACTAATGGAACAGAATAGAGAGCCCAGAAATAAACCCATGCATATAAGGTCAACCCATCTTCAACAAAGGTGTCAAGCATACACAATGGGGAAAGGACAGTTTCTTCAATAAATGGTTTTGGGAAAACTGGATATTCTCATACACCATATACAAAAATCACTAAAAATGGATTAAAGACTTAAAAGTAAAACCTGAAACTGTATAACTCCTTGAAGAAAACATAGGTGGTAAGCTCCCTGACATTAGTCTTGGCAATGATTTTTTGGACTTGATACCAAAAGCACAGGTAACAAAAGCAAAAATAAATAAATATATTTAACTAAAAAGTTTTTGCACAGCAAAGGAAATAATCAGCAAAATGAAAAGGCAACCTATGGAATGGGAGAAAATGTTTGTAAACCATATATCTGATAAGGGAATTAATATCCAAAATATATAGGGAACTTATGCAACTCAATAGTAAAAAAGCCAAATAACCCAATTAAAAGATGGGCAAAGGACCTGAATAGACATTTTTTTCAAATAGGACATACAAACGGCCAACAGGTACATGAAAAGATGCTTAACATCATTAATCATTAGGGAAACACAAATCAAAACCACCATGAGATATCACCTCACATCCATTAGGATGACTATTATCAACAAGTCAGAAGATAATCAGTGTTGGCGAAGATGCAGAAAAAAAGGAACCCTTATACACTGTTGGTGGGAATGTAAATTGGTACAGCCATTATGGAAAACAGTATGGAGCCTTCTCAAAATATTAAAAATAGAACTATCATATGATCCAGTAAGCCCTCTTCTGGGTATTTATTCAAAGGAAATAAAATCACTAACTTCAAGAGACAACAGAACCCCATGTTCATTGCAGCATTATTCACAGTAGACAAGACATGGAAACAACCTCAGTGTCCACTGATGGAAGAATGGATAAAGATGTGGTGTGTGTGTGTGTATATACATACATATGATGGAATATTATTCAACCTTAAAAAAGAAAGAAATCCTGACATTCGCATCAACATGGATGAACCTGGAGGACACTATGCTAAGTGAAATAAGCCAAACACAGAAAGACAAATACTGCATGACCTCACTTATATGTGGAATCGAAAATGTCAGCCTTCGAAGCAGAGAGAAGAATGGTTGCCAAGGCTGGGAGGTGGGGAAACGGGGAGATGCTAGTCAAAGGGCATCAGCTTTCAGTTCTAAGATGAGTAATTTTGGGAGATCTAATGTAAGCGTGGTGACCATAGTTAATACTGTATTATGTACCTGAAATTTGCTAAGAGAGTAGATCTCGAGTGTTCTTACTAAACACACAAAAATGGTAACTATGTGAGGAGATGGATGAGTTAATTAGCTTGACTGTGGAATCATTTCACAATGTAGATGTGTATGAAAAGATTACCTTAAATATATACGATTTTATTTGTCAATCATATTTCAATAAAGGTGGGGGAAAATTAAAAGATAAAATTGTAGTCGATATTAGGCCTGCCACTTGATCTTGTTACTTAATGGACTAATAAAGAAGCATGCATATTACTACAGCACATCTTATTTTTAAAAAATATTTTAGAACTGTGTTTCAGTACAATTGGTTGCCTACATAACCCTGTGTTATCTCATTTCATGCACGTAAGAGCATTATTCTGAGCGGAAGTCCAGGGGCTTCAGCAGCCAGTGGATCCACAGGGGGCCTGGGCATAGAAGGGTTAAGAAGCCCTGCCCAGAGCCAGAGGAGCAGCAGGGATGGCTTTCAATACCCTCTTCCCACTTTCCACAGCAGTCTCCTGGGACCCACTGAACGCCAGGTGAGGTGGGGGAGGGTACAGGGTGTAAGGCAAGGGGGAGCAAGGGGATCAGGAGCCTGTGGCCTGGCTCTGCCATGGACCAGCTGTGTGTCTTTGGACAAGCCCCTGTGCCTCTCTGGGCCCCAGCTTCCACCTTTCAATCTTTGAGAGCTTTGAAAACTGTGACCTGGACACTTTATATGGTGGCAGCCACAGCTCCTATTTATGAGATGCCTACTATGTGCTGCATACTGCTCTGAGCCCTTTCCATGAGTGATGGTCATTTAGTC